GCCTGCATGCTGCCCATGGTGGGTAGTGGACAGAGCTAAAGGCCTGTTAGCTTCGGTATATAGCAGAGCTGAAAACCAGAAAACCAGGAGTAGCTGCTCTCAAAGCAAATGGGACCTGGCTATATAGGGATCTCTCTCGCTCGCTCTCTCTCTCTCTCTCTCTCTCTCTCTTTTCCTTCCTTCCTCCCTCCCTCCCTCCCGGTTGGAAAGGATCAGCTATAGGGAAGTAGTGCATCCTTGAAGATGCATTTTCTTCATCCTGCTCCTGACCCCCTCCCCCAGGGAGAAAAATACGGTGGCCACCAGGTAAGGCAAGGTCACATATCAAGGTCTCCATGCGAGCTTGTGCCTGCAACCAGTGCAAGTGGTTTTAAAAACTTAGCCTACCAAGGAACCTACATTCATAGATAGTAGCTGACTGCTTGCTTTGCCATGAATCACAGATAATACACAGGTCTGCACATACCTAACTGTCCCAGTCCTAGTTCAGCATTACAATCTGCGTCAATCTTAATACATTCCAAAAAAGGTGGGGGCACTGTACCCTGGGTATATCACCTCACTGTAGGTAAACAGTGATTTCTCCTTGTCTTTGAAATGGAAATGAGCTAGCTCTTGGTTTTCCTCTTGCTCCCCGTCCCCATAGAAACCACCTCCCAGTGAGGGAAGGTGGGGACGTCAAGACTGGCTGATAGCTTTTGGGGTCTATACTCCCATCTCACTCATGGGCATTATACTCATGGAACCTTCCTTCTTGTAGAAGGAGGAGGAAAAACAGATCCAAAAGGTCTAGAGGGCTGACCTCGTTACTTCCATAGATGAAACCTGAAAGAGACTGACCAGCATGAGCCTGTGGCAATACTCCACCAATACCACCTGTGAACAGCCTTATGGACCCCTGCTATTTTGTTGGGTTTCTAACACATTCCAGGGTTGTAGAAAGCCTCTTGGCACTTTCCTAGTCCTTCAGAAATGGGTACATATTGACTATAGAGTGTACTATTTTAACAACACCCAAACCATTTGCACTCTTCTTATGCCTCTGGGGATACCTGGCTCCACAGCTTGTTCTAAGAATGCTTAGGTTCACAGCCTCATACTGACTTGTAGACATCATTCAATCTGTCAGCCTCGTCTTCGACTTTGAAAGCTAGTGAAATTTTATTTCCTTCACATCCTGACCAGGCTTTTGTGAGTAAAAATCATGGGCTGGCAACTGCCAGCTACAAGGATTCTGGGCAAGGTATGGGCCTCAGCATTTGCAGACTTCAGACTTCAGCCTGGCACTTCCTGATGCAGCCTCATGGCTTCAGAAAGCTACTGGGAAAGTAGAGGTAGAACTTAGTGATCTGTTCTTTTCATGCAGTTCCTGAACATTTTAAGCCTTTAATTTAGTTTTTCTCTTAAATATATATATATGTCCAGTATCTACCTTATCTCTCTATATCTCATCAAATATAATACGACAAGCCAATGGGGACCTGTATCAACATTGTCAAGTTAACCGCCTAAAGCACTAATGCTTTTAAAGGAAGAATAATCAATATTGGTATGAAAATTAAGGGCCGTATGCTTATCCAGAGGAGTGTGAATTGACAGAGGACCCCAGCCAACATTTGCAGAAGATATTTGCCCAGATTTTGTTATCACAAGATTACCATGCACCATTATTTATTCGGAGTCCTCCAGATGAAGACTCAGCACCAGTAGTCCTAGGAGGTTGAAGCAGAGGTGGTGATCCGGGGACCTAAAGCAGCAGTGTGGTTTAGCACAGTGGTTCCCACATCTCAGAAGGGCCTGAGAAGGGATTATAAAAGCACAGAGTGCAGAACTTGGCCCCATCTGTGCCCCGCGGAATCTTGGAGGTGAAGCCCCAAGAGCTGCCCTGCACAGAGGGCCCCTCTAATGGGCAGTCAGGCATGGTGCCATTCTGTAGCGAAGGATAGAGCCTGGGCCTTGGTCAACAAACCTGCAATGTGGCCCCAGGGCTATCACTTTCTCTCTCTAGGTCTGCATTTATTTCCTATTAAAAGAAAACCCATTCACCCTGATTTACCTGGCTCAGAGTTGATGGGGTAATCCAATGAGAGGGAGTTTGGCAAATAGACATCTGTCTATGTTACCTCATTCAGACTCCTCCAGGGGTGAGCTTTGTCATTTCCTTGTTCAGCTAAAGAAGGCAGATCCTGAGAAGTTAAGTGTTTTGTGGGTTCCCAAGCCTTGGAAGTGGAGGTGCTCAGATTTGAACCCAGACACATGACTCCAGAGCTGTCCAGGCATCAGATGCTCCTCTGAGATTTTAGCAATCAGGCAGACCCTTGCTGCTCCAACCCAGGTATGTGGACAAGCAGTGTGGGCATCACCTGGGAACTCATGAGAAATGCACACTCTCATGCCCCACCCTACTCTGGTTACATCCCAATCTGCATTTTTTTTTTTTTGGTGGGACTGGGGTTTGAACTCAGTGCTTCATGCTTGCAAAGCAAGTATTTTACCACTTGAGCCACACCTCCAATCTATTTCATTTTGCTGTAGTTATTTTGGAGGTGGGATCACAGGAACTATTTGCCCTGGCTGACCTTGAACCACAGTCTTCCTGATGTCGGCCTTCCAAGTAGTTTAGGATTACAGGTGTAAACCACCCGTGACAACTCCCTGTCTGCATTTTAACGAGCTCTTCAGATGACTCTTGCCTACCATAAAGCTCAAAAGCACTGCTATAGAAGATCTGAGAGTCTTAACTAGAAGTATGGCAACCATGCAGGAATTATTGTAATCCAACCAAATGCCAGAATTTCTGGAATGGCAAAGAAGTACCTCTGTTTTGGAAGGACAGCAGAAAGAGGTTTCAGCCCCTGCTATTTGAGCTCCCATTGCCAGGCAAGCTCCCCTCATTCGAGAAAGTCCTAACCGCCCCCCAAAAGAATGGGTTTTAAAATAGGAACAAATTGTCTTTGCGTGGATTTGTGCATTTAATTTTCAAAGGTAATATGATTAGTTGTTTGGTTTTTTTTTTTTTAATGAGGAAAAAAAGAGAGTTTAGCAAGGATGATGCAGTCCTGCAGTTTTCCCAGTGGAATTTTCTCCTTTTCCTGCCTTCTGAGGAGGGTATGGTTGCATTTCATTTACTCAGGAGTGGGTCTTTGTGTTCCTGTATGGCACAAAAAATCCACCTGGGAGGATGATCAGTTAGATGGGGGGAAAGTTCAACTTCCAGGTTATCGTTTCCATGAGTGTTGTCCTCAAGTTAAATACTATCTCAATCCATTTTGGCTGCTGTTACAAAATACCAGAAACTGTATTATGGCACAGAAATCTGTTTCTCATAGTTCTGGAAGCTGGGAAGTTGTTGACATCAAGATGCTGGCATATTTAGCGTCTGGTGAAGGCCTGATTTCTGGTTCATAGACAGCATTCTTGATGTGTCCTCACTCTTTGATAAGGGCACTAATCTTACTCCTGAGGGCTTCACCTCCATGACTTAATTACCTCCTAAAGGCCCCACCTCCTAATACTGTCAACTTGGGGACTGGGATTTCAACATAAGAGTCTCAGAAGGACACTGCCATTCATACCATAGCTAATACTGATACCTAAGTCTGCAAGTATGTTCTCCTGATATATGGAAATGGCCCCTCTGCACAGGATGCTCCCCAACGAACATAATGGGCAGGAAATGCCTAGACCAAAGACTAGGAGAGCACATTTATACACTGGGCTTTGAGACGTGTTGAAAAGCATCCACTCACCACCCCAAGTGCTCACCATATGGAAATGTCAGTCAAGCAACAGAGATTCCTGACCTGGAGGCCGGATGTCCAGTGGAATTTGATTCTGGGAGGGGTTGCCCAACTTAGTCCTCCCATCTCCTCCCTGTCTTTCCCCAGCCAGCTTTGTTGAGGCTGCAGGGATTTCTTTCAAGTGATTTTAACCCATGTTCTCATGTGTCAACTTTATAATTTATATGTACTGTATTATTTAACCCTTCCAAGTCATTCTTCCAAGAAGCCAACGCTATGGAGAAAGTGTACCAATTCCCTGAAAGAGTCAAGACACTATTTGTCACCATTGTCCCAAGTATTCCCTGTGTCCATGCTCCAAAAAAGTCAGTTAGGAATATTGGACAGACATGGTCCCTACCTTCTGGGACTTTCAAGCTCAGAGAAAGGTCATGCAAATAAATAAATGTCCTGGCTACATATGTCAATCAGGTGTAGAAATTCAATGCTGCTAAATCGAAGAGACTCTGTGTACAGCAGAGGGCATAGCTAGGATTCCTGAAGCCCTGTCATTGTAACTTTGAGCCTCTTCCCACTCTCACCCCATCTTCACTTCAAGCTAACCAAAATAGGTCTTTCCCCTTCCTGGGTTTTTTTGGTTTTTTTGGGTTTTTTTGGTTTTATTTTGTTTTAAAGTTTCAAAAGTCTGGATGAAGGGGATTTGGATCAGGATGATACCATTATTCTGTCACTTCTAATTCCATTCTGTTAACAATTTTTGGATTCACATGGGTTAGAAGACTTGATTTTGAAAAAAATATGCACTTTTAAGTTCTGACTCCAGAAGGTAATTTCAGCTCAGCTGAAAGCAATTCTAGGGGTGAATATAAAAGGGGAACTGCCTCACCAGGCTTCCCTTCAGGGTCTTGGTGAGGTAGTTCCTCTTTTATATTCCCTTCCTTGACTGCACCTGCAGTCAGAAATGAAGAGTTTTAAGGGTGTGTTGAGGGGAAGGCAGGGGCTAAAAGAGAGAGAGACAACTGCAGTCAGTTCCAAACCAGACTGTGAACCAGCCTTGTCTTCTTTCTCCCATCTCCCAATGCTAACTGATGCCTTCCATCACCTCAACAGACTTGGAAGGCTGGTTATTGACAGCTGGGCAATCTGTATGATAAAGCTTAACAGTTTACATCCTTCTGTATGACTTTGTCAATGTTTTCAAAGGATCATGTCTGGTTCTCACTCAACCACTGACTTTTCGTCTTTTTTTTTCCCCTCAAGCATGCAAACGCAAAGAGCAAGAACCAAACAAAGACAGGAACAATTCCCAGAAGAAATCCCGCCTGGTGTTCACCGACCTCCAACGCCGAACCCTCTTTGCCATCTTTAAGGAGAACAAGCGCCCATCAAAGGAGATGCAGATCACTATTTCCCAGCAGTTGGGCCTGGAGCTCACCACTGTCAGCAACTTCTTCATGAACGCCCGGCGCCGCAGCCTGGAAAAGTGGCAAGACGACCTGAGCACAGGGGGCTCCTCATCCACCCCCAGCACTTGTACCAAAGCATGACACAAGGACTCTGACCTGGGCACAAGTCACCTCCAAATGAGGACAACAGATACCAAAAGAAATGCAAAAGGAAAAAGTCGTCCGATTCTTCGCTGGGGCCCTTCACTGGTGATTTGAAAGCACAATTCTCTTGAAAAGAAACTCTATTCTAGCTGTAATCATAGGCCAGGTCTTCTTTTTTTTTGTTGTTGTTGTTGTTTTTAATGGCTATAGAGTCCAAGTACAAGCTGAAAATGAATCTCTGAACTAGACACTGTCCTCTGAGCATGCTAAGCATTCCAGAAACCCAAATGGGGCCTTCCTGGAGCAAGTTAATTTCAGGATCACTTAAAATGTCAACAGTCCACTTCAGGTCTGTCAACCTCTTGCATTCAGTTTCCACAGGTAACAGTGGGAATTTGGCCTATGTAAGGACTCTGAGTTTAGGCTTCCAAGACACTACAATAAGAGAAGAATCTAGCAACAAGAATGACCTCATTTGCTTTCCAAGTGCTTGGCCTCATTATATCACAGTACACCAAAGTTCACAGCCATAACACACACACACACACACACACACACACACACACACACACACACACACACAAATCAGAATGGTAATGACTGAGCACAAGTTTTAAATATGGAATTAAAAAAAATAAAAGTCCAAGGACCTGCTTTTTCAACTCAGGCATCTTTTCATTGAATGGTTTAGAAAGCTTTAAGTTGATCCAGTTTAAGATTTTCTTGTCTTTACTTCTTGGAAATCTCATGTGGTCTTGGATACATAAAAAAAAAATCAGTTCACTTGAGCTCAAAGTATCAAGCACAACGAAGATAAACAGAAATAAGAAGGTTCCGGATTCACCACATCTGGATTTTTAAGACACCTGTTGTGAAGTCATTAGGGAAGCATTGGGAATATGGCTTCAAGCACATTTTGCAGTTTGCGACAAATTTTGTTTGTACATAATGCAGACGCACACTCAGGAGGCCAATTTAACTGTTACGGTACATGGAGCAAATGCAGCATTTTACAAGATCTAGATTTTTTTTTTTAGATTATTAATGTATCCTTCTTGATTTACTAGTCATCTGGTTCCTTCTACTGTACATTACGATCACCACATCATTCTCACTTTTTCTGATTTGTGTTGTTCCATTGTCCATCCATTAGTAGGGATGTTTCCAGTGTTTTCTAGGAAGGAAGAAAGAAAGAAGTCAAACCACCATACATGTTGACCATGACTGTCCGCTCATTTCTCTTCCATTGTTGACTCGTCCTTGCAAAATAGCTGAATAAATCTGGAGAAAACACAGCACACCAAAGAAGCAGAATACTGCAAACCAAAGACACTTATTACTTGCCATTTTCTAGCCTAAAAATACTGTGATTACTTTTAGAAATCAGAAAACCTCTGCAACTCCAAACAGCATTCGGCTCTTGCATTTGACTCACCATCCTGCTGAGTGGACCAGCTATGCCAAGAATGTTAGCCAAGCCACCAAAGCAGTGGCTTTACCAGGCCAGCTCTGGTTCCTGGCTGTCACCTTCCCATAGCAGGCAGAAGAGCACCCACAGAACTCTGGGAGATTGCAAAGGTCACGATGTGCGTATTTACCAGTGAATGGCCCCAGCTGGGCACCATGGGGGTGTTCAAAGCAAGCCAAACGCTGCAATGATTCTTTACAGACACTTGAGACTGACTTTTGTATGAATTACTTAATTGAAACCAAAGAAACTTTTTCTGCACCTACTTCTGCAACAAATAGAACTGTCCCATTAAATAAACCAGTAAATCAGTGGAAATCACCAACAAGAAGGAAGCACGCCAGAAAAAAAACAAACAAACAAACAATAAAACAGGAAGACACATTGTGTTCAAACAGATCTCTTGGGACATTTTTTGGAAGCAGATTTGAAAGAAAGGGTTGAGACAAGAATCAAAATAAGGAAGAGCCTCGGTGGCTGCTGCTTCATTTGACAACTCATGCGGTAATCTTAAAGTTGAAGATTGTCTTTAATTTGTGCCTATGCAGTTTTTCAAAAGAACACGGAACAGAACAACAGAAACCTCAACAGCTACAATACCAAAGATGAGGATTTCTCACACCTTTTGTTTTCAGTTCATTTTCTCCTTTTGCCTGGCTAAAATACTAATAGCGCCATTGATCTGTACAAAGGTAATCAATTTTGTTTCTCTGAGCAATGAAAGGAAAGGGTCGTTTATTTGATTTTACCATTTCCCTTTAATTTTGTTTTATGGCTATTTACTCCAACATGGAATCTCTCAGACGGTTCCATGGACTCCAAGTTTAAGATGCTGGGATACTGAATGATCGATTCTCTTCTCTCTCTGTTCAGTAGAGTATGGGGAATGGTATTGTCACTTGAATGTTCTCTGCTTAACCCTTAGACTTGGTTCCTTCTATGTTCAGAGTCTCATCATTGGGAGGGAAAGGGAGCAAGGGTGAGGGGTAGAGGTCTTGGTGACATGTCCTCTCTGGAGCCACAGAACCAAAGAATTTGTAGAGGAATTTACAGCCTCATTTGTCGTGTGATTGCTCCACCTTAACAGGGCTTCATTTGGGGGTGGGAAAACATGTAAAAATTATGACCAGTTTCTACTTTTCTATTAGCTTTTTAAAAATCAGCTGTAAAGTTGCATTTCTAAAGAAAGATATATATAATATATGAGTTTATATATAGATCAAGTTGACATTGGTAATAACCCAAAACTTTTGCTGTCCAAATTTCTGTCTTATTTTTGTCATGCGCTTCATTCGCTGAGTGTTAGTTCAGAACTGTACTCACTTTTCTTCCATTCCAGCATTAATTTGCCACTGTGGATGACTTGGAGTACTCAGATTTGTACGAAAATTTCTGGGAAGTGTTGAAATTCTACTTCAAGAATTTCAACATTCAATCTGTCAATGAATGGATTCATGGTATAAGTGAGTTTTGTTTGTATTTAGTGCCATCTCTATTCTATGCCTCAACCACGATCAAGGTGGTGAGTGAGATATATCCACCAGACTGGCCCAGAGCCAGGCGACTGACAATAGAAGGGTGGCAGGGAGGCTCGTGTTCTATAACTGTTGGGAAGGCTCAGTGGGCCATTCCTACCAGCAATGGAGTATGATGTCAGCTTAGAAATCCATTTTCTAGGAGATGCCTTGTTCATCAGGGCAGTGATGCAGATTCACCAAAGACTTCTCACAGGGAAGTCCAACCCTGTTGCAATGGGTTGATCAGGTTTCCTCAGGGTAGTAATTACCAATTTGCATTCACAAGCCCTTGTGCAACTACCACTGACACTGGGGTGAGACAGTGGAGGTGTTGTTGGAGGGAGGTGTCTCAATCCTATAGAGAAAATGTACAACAGATTTTGGGAAGAGTCCCAGAGTCCTGTTCTTAGAGAGTCCCATTGCCCACAGTGCCACCTCCTCACTCTCACCACATAGTTGTCCTTTGTGTGGGCACCAGACATGGAGCTGGGACAATGTGGCTCTCTGTGATGTTTTATAATTTATCCTACCTGGGAGATTGTTCCTTGACTTTTTCCTTGTGTCCCTTTTTCCCTTGCTCATATTCCATATAACCTTTTTTCAGAGGACCAGGAAAGTGCATGCTTTACTCCCAAATAGATTGATAAAAGTGAATTTTAATTTGAGTATTTCTGAATGAGTCCTGTGACTTGTCGCCAGTGGAAATGGTTGTTATTCTTGAGAGCAGGTTGAGGAACCGAGTCTTTTGGTTTGGTTAGTGATTCTTTGGCACACTAGTGTCAGCATTTGGATCTCTGGCATCCTCCGAAGATGTCTTGGCCAACAGAGCATTTGTGGCCTGGCATTTCAATATTGGTCAAACCAGTGCTCTGGTGATCTGAGAAAGATGTCATAATGTTAAAAGAAAAATTAAGGCAAAAATTTCCCTTCAAAGACTCTTGACATATCTTACATCAAATAATGTCATACCAGAAAGAACTGTTTGCTTTTTAAAAAATTATTTAAGTACATAGACAGATGAATATGTGCAGCTATATCTTTATGTGTCAAACTTTTAAGCCCTGCCAAATTTCAAGTTGTTAGAGAGCTGAAAGGAAAAAATTGTTGACCCAGTGAGTTTCCTCAAAGATTTTAGACATTTAAATTAATAATTTCAGAGAAAATAACCATTGGGACTTTGTTATCATTTAGAATCCATTTCTTCAATCCAAGAAAAATTCCAGACATGCCTCAGTCATCACCAAAAAAAAAAGATAAAAGAAAAAAAGAGGTGGGTGGTAACAATGTGAAGGAACAGATGTCAACCCAGTTTCACATTCTTGAGGCAACAAAAGCCTCACGACTACAGAGTGGGAAGATATTTTTCTTTATGCTTTTACATAATTAGGCTTGATTTTTATTTTCAGTATGCTTTTGGCACTGGGAATGTAATTCTTTCATTCCAGTATATGTTTAAAAAGTTGAACCAACACATTTCTTTTTTAAAGGAAAATAACAGCAACAGAAGCTCAATACCAATATTTAAAACTTTTCTCAAAGTGGAAAACAGTGTTTATATTGTGCCATGTAGTCTAGCCTGAATCAGGAAGGATCTAGCATGATGCTTTCTCTGGAAAAATCAGTTACCTAAACAGTTCTTCTCTTCTCATGAAGCTCTGGTAAGATAAAGAAACCCAAGCTCATGTTCATTTCAAGCTAAAAATAAATTCAAAGTTAGAAAGGTAAATCTCTTACACACATACACATATACATTTTTCCAAGTCAAACAATATATTTCAAAGCCATGTATAAATGGTTTTTAAATTGCCAGATTTTTTCTTGTCTATATTGGGCATCCATCTATAGTGCTAATAAATTAAAATTGAGATTTTTTAAAAAATCATTACTACCTAGGTACAGACTTTTTTAAATGTCTGTAAAATTAGGAGTATCTGTTTGATTGCCATTATCAAAGTATCATGACAGTATGCTTTTGGAGTGAACTTGGATCTTCAAGAGGTTTTATAATTGGA